TATGATGTTAAGTGTGCCATTTGCCCAGCCCTGTATAATGAGTTTATTTATTGGAATAGTTCTCTTGAAGCAGGGATGAAAAGCAATGTCTGACCTTCATTTGTTCATTTTTATAGAACTTTTAATTATCATTCATTTTGTGCGTATTCTCTGTGACCGATGTGAGTTTTCATTTCATTTTACAGGCGGTACAAGCAATTTAGTCCATGTGTGTCTATCAGGAAAGGATAAAGAACTTCCAGCAACAGCATCTACAGTTTACTGTACAGTTTGCCTGATCTCCAAATAGCTCAGTTACTCATGATAGGTAGGGAGAGTGGCCAGACATTTTACACATGTGCAGAGATGCTTTCACAGGAACATTACTTTTACAAAAGTAAAAAGTACAGTAAATTACAGCTGTTCCTAAAAGCATATGTTTTACCTAAACATTTCTCATGTAACTGAGTAAATCTAACTAACTACTGTAGATCCCACCTCTGCAGGAATTGTTTGGATGTAAATCCGGTGTTCAAGTTCAGAGAACCATCAAATAACCTCTCATGAGAACCAAAGTATGCAGAAACCATGTCTGAACACCAGGGCCAGCCCAGACATCAGGGACTGCTTAAGCCCCCAGGGCAACCTAAAACAATTTAATGTTTGGCTTTTTTATATCTTAATAAATATGGCAAAAACACATAATTTCATAATAATATATTGTACAGTTTTATATAAATCTTTAATCAAAGCAATTGATGCACAGATAAAGAAGGAATAGTAAACTTATTTGAGAAAACCTTCTCTTTGTAGACTAGTGGTAATAATGAGAGAGCATTGACACAAAGACTGGAAACCTACCAAACATCCTAAAGCACACATTACCTCATTTACTCACTTACCTTCTCAAAAGGAGATCTGAGTTCCAGCCAAATCTTTGTGTGGTGATGAGGATGTCCTGCACACTTCCTGTGACTGTTGCATCTACAGAGTGGAGCTATTTCACAGACAGATTAATTAAAGAAGGAGTGGACTAATAGCCATTAGTTTGGGCATCAAAGTTGGCTTACAGAACTCTAACAGTGACGCCATCAGTGACTTTGCAAAGAGAAAAGCAGATTTTAAAAGTGGGTGGAGAACCAAGGAAGAACAGAGGAACTTTTAAAAACTGCTATGTGTGGGTAAAGGTATCATGTTTTAAATAGAGCTTTTCTATATAGTCACATAGATTCAGGAGCTAATTATTCAACCATCATTTTCTAGCTGGTTTAAAGTAACTTTTTATTTCTGTTATTTAAGAACATGTATCCATCTTCCTCCTCTCATGTATCAGGGGCTCAGGTGGGGCTGCTGAAGCTCGGAGTCTATGGGCAAAATAAACAGCAGACCGGTCACCAGTCTATAGATGGCAATTTAGAACCTTTTTGATATTTTATTGATTAATTGATTTTACTAGTTTTCTTTTTGTAAAAAGCTATTTATTAAAACTTTTTTTTATTATTTCTTATTGTTCTTGCACTTGGTGGTGCAGTGGATAGCAATACTGCCTTGCAGCAAGAAGGTTACGGGTTCAATTCCTGGGCTGGAGTCTTTATGCATAGAGTTTGCATGTTCTCCCTGTGCATGCATGGATTCTCTCTGGGTACTCTGGCTTCCTCCCACAGTACAAAAATATGACTGTTAGGTTAATTCCCTCATGACCCTGCTTGGAATAAGCATGATGAATAATGGATGGATTTTCTTGCACTTCAGTTTTTTCCACATTGTTTTTGCAGTTGGAACCAAAAAGTGAAAAGCTTGACGCTTTTATTCTAAAGATAATGCCTGCTACTTATTTGAATACTTTTAGTAACAATAGATTAGGAGTTTCCAAACATTTCAGCCCAAGATAAACCAACACAACAGACTGGCGATCATTTTCAGAGTTAAATATTTTTTTTCCAAAAATAACACTGTATTATTTAATTTATAATTCTAAATGTATATTCATTATTCAATAAGACAAGAAATTATTTAATTTTGTACTTTACAATGTATATTCAAATCATATAAAATAAATAAAAGCTAAATTTACTTATTTTTTGGTTCATTTATTGATTATTTTCCATATACCTCAGGGATCACATCACAAAATCTGGTGAATTTGTCTGCACCAACCTTCCAAGGCTAAAGCAAATGTAAACATTGGTTTAAAGGTTCTGCTGATTTGTGGTATATAATTTTTTCTATTGAGTTCCTGTTGCTTCGGTGTTGCAGGAGTGAAAGAATAAAACTAAAAACAAATATAAAAACTCCCTATTGTCTGCATTGTCCTTGTTATGCCGTTTTCTTCCTTATCTAGGGTTGTGGTGGTACATCATGGATGGTTGAGGTAAAACATGAGTTTCTGGAAGAAGAAAACATGTTCAAAACAAACAACAAGCATATATTCCCCAGGGAAGATTTGAATGTGATGTATGGTAAAGCAGAGAAGTTTGTGCTGTCAGACCTGGATGAGATTCAGACTAGAGTGCTGAGACTGTGTACAAGTAGAGGCATTGAAAAGCCCTCCAGTGTGTGCTGTTAAAGGTGATGCAGGAGAATAAGAGCTGCAGCTCTGCAGGAAACTGCTGGAGGCCAGTTATCAGATAAATCCAAGGAGACACATGGAAAGTCCCTTAAGTGTCTTAGAGCTGCTTACTGCTGAGAGGGAAGAGAAAAAGTTAAGAAAGTAAGTTTTTCATAACGGAAAAACAAATGCAAGAACAATAGATTAAATTTTGCCAACCTGTGTCCTGTGAGAGCTACAGATATTGCAAGATGCCTTTGTGGACATGAAGCCACTGAATATAGAAAAGAACAATGAATGAAGCTGCTCTAAGTAAACAATATATAGCAATGGTATGCACTATAAGAAGGCAACCAGTCATTTCTAAACCTTAAGCAGTCTAAAGGCAGCAGAGGGGTGGGGTTTTTCTTTTTACTTTATTTTACAAACATGTTTAACACAACAGGGACATAAAGGTCTGAACAGGAACAACTTGAGAAACATACAAGGAAAAAAAATTATTTTTAAAAAGGCATAAAATATAACATAGTATCAATGTTCATATATATATATATATATATAATGTACAAAACATGTGGTCAAAACAACAAATAAGTTGCATGACATAAACTAATTATCATTATTGTTAGAAATCAGTAGCAAAAGCAACAGGAGTCTATGATTAGGAAAAGCTTAGAGATAGCTCAGGTTATCCTGAGCTATCTCTATAGTTATGCTGCTATAGGCTTAGACTGCTGGAGGACATAGGGACTCCTTTTTCATCATTCTGCTTCATTCTGTCTCTAGTCTCCCAGTCTGCACAATCGTTTAATTAAATCTCTCTGTTTTTTCTCATAGTAGCCTCGCCTGGTCTGTTGCTGTTTGGCTGTGACTCCATCCTGGAGAGAAATATCAGCTGTGCTGCTGCCATCAACACCTTTGTTTATAGATATTTAAGCTCGGACAATTTTTCAGTGTAGTCCTGTTTTCCTCACTATAAGCGTTTCTCAATTCACGAGAACACGAGAATGTACTCGCGCTCTCGACAAGTCCGTTCTTGCCGAGAACGCAGGAAGATCGGACTTGACGAGAACGCGAGCACGCAAGCATGTATGTGTATTGGAGCAGAAGCGTACTCGTGACGTCATCACATGCAACGTTCTTTAGCATTTTCTTTAACAGTCAAAACTATTTATTCCTTACACAAAACATTTTGAAAACAATATTTTTAATTTCTAAAGCTTAAAAAACATTTTAAAAAATGACCGAACCGCAAAAAACCGCCATCAGAACGAGCGGTAGTTCACACATAACTAGACGGAGAGAAGTGCACTACAGACGGGGTAAATTTAGCCCTGGCTGCGGTTACCCTCGGAGGTCTGCTGGTCACTCTGGTCCGCTCAACGTCTGACTTTTTATTTTTATTTCACACTAACTCTGTAAACAGACCACACAGGGAGGCTTAAATGTATAATGTTATCGCCTCAAACGATTTCAAAACGTACTTTTGGAGAACAACAGCAGCAGAAAAGGGAATGTTTAACTTAACACTGTGAGCGCTGTCTGGAATCAAGCTGCGGCCGCGGGGCATTCTGGGGAAGCGGTCAGTCTGAAGAACGCACAAGTCTGCTCTGATGCATGCTCGATAAAGAGGGCGGGGTGAGAACAACATCCGGGGATTTGATGCGTTCTCGATCTGGCGTTCTTGAGAATTGGAACGGTACTCGGGCTGAGGCTGATGACGTATCACGAGTACACGAGCACACGAGAACGCTCAAGAACGCATATTGAGAAACGGCCTATGACTGGCTGGATGTGCTCGCTTTCATCCTCTGACGTGGGAGCTGGCTCGGAGCTAAACTACCTGTCTGTTTGTTTCCTGGACGGGGCCACCTAAAGAGCTGGTTGACAAGTTCCTTTTGTATCTCTGCTTCTCTCACCTTGAACCCCAGTCAGCCTCGGCAGATGGCCGCTCACACTGAGCCTGGTTCTGCTGGAGGTTTCTTCCTGTTAAAAGGGAGTTTTTCCTCTCCACGGTCGCTACAAGCATGCTTAGTGTGAGAGATTGCTGAAGAGTCAATGAGTTGATGCAATCAACTGGTTTTCCTTAGATAGAAAACTTTAAATCGATTTGACTGGATGATCTGATGAACTGGAAAGTGCCTTGAGATGACATGTTGTGAATTGGTGCTATAGAAATAAACTGAATTGAATCTATCTGAAAATCATTCCAGGATCTCATCACCAGAAGCCCAGAGTAAGACAGATGTCATTTTTAGTTGTCACATAGAAGCTGGAAAAAAAAAAAAACATCTGACTCCAACATGCTGAAAAAATATACACCTATTAAAGATTACATTGCGATTATTAAAGATTATTCATATTTTCAAGAAAAATAGAAAACAGAATAGTAAGAGGAAAAAGCCATGAAGCTGAAATGCATCCATCCATCCATCCAGTAGGTGGCGGTAATGCTCTTTAAAACCAGGAAGAAAAAGTCCGGAAGTGAAATGACATCAGCTTGTTTGCTGCTGCTGGAAGCTAATTGCAGAAAGCTCCGGTAAAATCAAGCTGCTCCGCTTTGAATGTTTCAGTTTCAGGTCCGTGAAATATGCCTTTGGTCCCTGCGAACCAGGCCCAGTTGATCCGGTCCAGTCAGAAGGATGAGTTCTACCGAACCGTCCTGAGGAACAGCGCTAATGAAGCCTGTCACACTGTCGCAGGTAAACCACCTCAGAGCAAAGAATGAGCCCCGGTTCAGAACCGCTTCTGACCGGTTCTTATCAAACCATCCCAGAACAGAACCTGCTGCTTTACCGAACCTGTAGGAAGTCTGAGGAAATGTTTCCTCAGGTGGTTAAACTATCAGTCAGGCTCTGCTCACATTTCCTTCCCTTTGGTCGCTGAAGGACCAACAGAGATGTTCTGAATTTCTTTAACTTTATCTTAGAGGAATTGATGTATTTTAGTTTTCCACTGCAGTCTACATAACACAGATAAGAGCATTTAATTTTCAATTCAGTTTATATTGCACCAATTAGCAACACACGTCATCTCAAAGTTTTCTATCTAAAGAAAACCAGTTGATTGCATTGACTCAATGCAATCCCTCACACTAAGCATGCTTGTAGTGACAGTGGAGAGGA